GTGTCTTACCTGCCAATGAGTCTGATTGGGCGTGGTCCATATCTGTCCATGAGGAAGCCCAGGGGCAGCGTGGCTGCACTCAGGAGGAAGGAGCCAATCGTGAAGCCCAGGTTTAGCATCTCATCCTGCTCCACACAACTCCTCCAAACACTTCCCTCATCAGAAGTCCAGTTAGTGTCAGTGGTCCCATTTTCTGCATCAGGTCAGAGAGAAGACATTTCATAAAGAACAACAATAAACATACCAATAGAACTCACAGAAACCATTCATCTGTTTAAACTCAAACTAACTGAACATTTTTCTGTTTGAATTTAATTGGTGTTAGTCATAAAGAGATATTTTGTTTACTAGATGCAGCTGTAAAGCTTTTTATATAATCCATGACTGTGGTATCCACAAATAATCCCAGAATTATGGCCTATTCCGGCACTGGAGCAGGAATAGGGCGGGCCAGAGGGCAATTGCCCACTCCCCCAATTTATGGCCCTGCCCATCAGCTAGTCCACTGGACATTTACAGGCTGCACCTAACATTGACAAGTTATGACTGACGTCTTTCTCTGTCTAGATACAGACAGAGGCAGACAAAACTGACAGCATTAACCATTTTCTTGGTCGATTGCTTATTTAATAGTTCAGCTTATGACTTGTTTAGACCAATAATTGGTTCAAAGTTTTGAAATGACAATTATTTTTCCAAATTTATTTTAGTGATCAATGTTTGATCAAGAGGAAGGAATTGTCTTGGAAAAATAAATTATTCTTTGGAGTCCTGCATTTCTTCTCAGGTCAAGTGTCAGTTACTTCTTTTGCTTACTGTAAAAATTCATCATGTTTTATGATTTTACTCGTTATCTTCTGTTTACTCTCAGTTAAAGTGTTTTAAGATCAGGACAATATCTGTTTAGAAGTAATCATTCTTTGTTGCTGTTCATCAAACATCGTTCTCTCCTTGGCCCATTTTTTCTGTTTGGATAACACATGCTGTATAAATGAGTGTATCTGAGATGACCTCGGTGCACACTGCCCTGTGTGACATGATGTGTGTCTTGCAGTTGCAATAAACCCTGTTGACCATTTTCATGGAGTACGTTTTATTCTTGGATCTTGTGTTTCTGCCTAGGTAAAATAAAYATTTCCACGACAGAGGGATGACTACTTTTACAACTCACAGCATCTGTATCTGACAAGTTATTAGTGTGCTGTGAAAAAGCACGCTAATGAGATCCTGGCTGGTCTTCCTATGCAATTATTTTGCCACCTATCCACTCCTGCCCAGGCTTATACTTTAAACAGAGAAAGAGAGAGTCAGTCTCTATCAATACGTCCCACAAAGTGTTGGCTGATATTCTAATGTCTGATGTTAAAGGTACTGCCTCCAGGGCTGTGACCAGGAAGTCAGATGTACACATTTTCATATGTATCCATTACATAATGGCTCTCCAATGAATTGACCAAGTGATTAATGTGGGGGCTGGCATTCAGTTGAGGCAAGGAGAGGTAGTGTGAAAATTACATTGCACCCTGTGTCAGGGTTAGAAAACTATTTCTCTATGTAAAAAAAACTTTGCAGGTGTCCTAATTGCTAATTTATTACTCTGAGTTAGTAACTCTCAAAAATTGCTGCTTCTTGTGGCAAATTATTTATCTTCTACTTGCAATTGTTTTCTTCAACTTTGTTTCCAGCCATGAATTTGCAGCTGCAAAGAATGGTGGGTGCAGAAGACAACGCATGGGTGAATGTATTCTCTATAAACACATGAATTCCACACTGTACACGTTGGAGTAATTATTTATTTGGGAAAAATAAATGTTTTAAAATGTTAACATTATTATTATTTATTTAAGTAATTTGTCATCTATCATTTTTGAACTACACTGATTATCCAGTTATTCTGACTGCAGACACACATTCAGKTCTCAGACACACAAATAAAATAATAAGATTGCAGAGTTTCTCACTGACCTGCAGAGCAATTAAAACAACCATTTCCCAAATATAAAGACCCTAGTTCAAATCCCTCCTCGATAATGAACAGGTCAAAGTGACAAAGAGACACCTTTAAAATAGTGCAGACAGAAATAAATATTTACAATTTTATTGTTAAGCTTTTCCTCACAGAAAGGCYTTAGCTTTTGGTAGTTGTAGATGTCATCCTAAAACACATTGGAACACATTGTGTTAAATGAAGCATGACACATAAACATTTGATGTAAATGTTTATTGTATTTTTTATGTTTTTTAATGTATTTTTGTGTTCAGTGTTAGAAATTGACAATAAATTTATGTGTAGCACTTTGGCCAATGACAGTTGTTAGATTTGAAAACAGGCTTGTGGAATTTCAACGCAAACTGGTTTTGTTTGCAAGGTGCTGTGGTTGTGGTACTGAAACACAAATTACTAGCGTAAAATATAGAGTGGTGAGTTTACCAATGCAAAGGTGAGCATAGAAGCCCTCGTGCTTCAACATGATGAGCAGTGAGGCCCAACCAAGAAGAACAGCAGAGAAGAACAAGTTCTCCACAATGGCGGTGGCAGCCATCCACCACCTCCTCCTGTAAGCCTTTTCCAAGCTGGGGGCCATAAACCCTGGAAATACAGAGAAAACGTTATTTTATTAAMCTGACAGTTCCTGTTGAATATTACAGTACCTTTTAAACATATTTATCCCTTTTTATTCTGTAATATGTGACGTCATCTTGAACTGCGTYGGTTTTAAATGTCAGTTTTAGACGGACAGAATAATAACTGTCTGAGAATTAAATTAACATTTGTTGATTAGGCCATAGTTAGTTTGAAAACCATCAGTGCTGACTCCTGTTTCCATCCATTCTTCCATCCATCCATCCATCCATCCATCCATCCATCCATTATCAAATCCATCCATCCATCCATCCATCCATCCATCCATCCATCCATCCATCCATCCATCCATCCATGATTCACACCTTTTGCTTACAGGGGGCTGAGTCCACCCGCTTCGGATGTTATCATCCATGAAATGAACGTTAGGCATTATCAGTTCCCTAGAATGGCTTCAGAATGTCCTGCCTGTGCTGGTTAGCAGGTTCCCCGTCCCATAGAATGGCTTCTGATTGTCAGCTGGTTAATATGAGGCATAAAGCACTATCTGGTTAATATGAGGCTTAAAGCCACTAAGGTTAACTTTAGAGCAAATTACATGGTTAGCGCCAAAGACCCCGCCCTCCAACACTTGTATATTGTGGTCTTCCAACAGGGCAATGGGTAGAGTGTTGGACCAGAAAGGGGAGACCAGGGTTTGAGACTGACACGGGCACAAATAATTTATTACACTACCTTTTGGTTATTTACACATTCATTGTCATTGATATATTAACCCACTAGGGGGCACTGTTGGGACAGTCTGAAGCCTAGAAGGCACAGTAGGGACCCTCTGAA